AAGGCAGGAAGATCGCTGCAAGTTCGAGGCCAACCTGAGTTAAAAAGTGAGTTCAGGACCAGCCTAAACTGCATAGCAAGACCCTGCCTCAAAAAAAAAAAAAAAAAAAAAAAAAAAAAAAAAAATCTGCTATACTTCTTTAACGAAGCACTTTATACAAGTATAAAACTATAGAAGGTGCTATTTTCATGAATTATCTCTTTTCTTGATTCTTGAGCCAGAGCAATAAGCAGACGTTACAAATAGTGCAAGTGAGCATGGCTGTCAATCACCTTTGAATTAAGACAGCAGAGCCCAGGGTAGAGTGTCCAGGAACCAACGCAGCTGTTCGTTCTTACCTTCATTTGCCTAACTGTTAATATAGCCTGAACTCACTGAAAAAAAGCTAAATTCATTTCACCTTTTGTAGCAAACATGTAGACTCAGAGTACTTACTAACAGAACTCGCAAACTGATCATTAAAAAAAATCCAGAATCTTACTGATAAAATATTAACCCTGAGTATCTTAAAATGACACTGAAAACATACGTCATGGTGTATGAAAATTTTACTTAAATAGATAAATAGCAAAGGAAGAAGGCAGACTCTACAAACATACATTATACAGAGAATACAATTATGTGTCCTTTGACATACAAATTTGAGTTGAAAAGTTCTGAACACTTTATTTACAAGTCTATTGTCAGTGCCTTAAAACTCAAAATGGATCAGAGCTTCAAGTTTAGAAGAGCTGACAGATTTAAGGAATAGCTTCATATTAGTTACCTCATCCTCATTAGTTTTGAGTTTCGGGGGAACAGTGTAAACTAGCCCTGGTATTTTGCTTTTAGGTAAATCATTGTTTAAGAGGACAATAATAAATATAGTTCTTGCAACTGTATCAGTGCCGGATCTCTACACGCTTTACCAATACCTATCACTGTCCTTAGTAATGGATGAAGCAGCATTGATGAGAAATGCAGAAAATAAAATTATGTCAGGAAGTAAATATATATCAAATACAGTATGATGAAATCCGTTGTGTTGACTGTCCTCATATATTGAGGTCCAGACTGCATACTTCCTGTAGTTCTGGTAAATTATCTCCACCAACAACCACTGGCTTTTATCCTGAATTGAGAAAGGAAATCCTAGATGTTCTGTGTGGCAACTAAAGTTAGTAAAGCCAAATGATCAGTGGATGTCAGCGACTTACTTGAGATTTATTGTTGAAAAAAGCATAGTGACAGACAGTAGAATTTGGTTCAGCGGAGAAGCATGTGAATCCCAGAAATCAGATCTTCTTGGCATTTTAGGGACTAAGCAAGGTTCCCACTTGATAACTGGGACTAAAATGCGCCACCTGAAGTGTCCTCGAGGGCAGTGAGGAAATGGACAGTTCTGGGGAAGTGTGAGAACCAGGTGTAGAGAGAACAGCAGCAAATATAATTCGTTTTCATGAAGAGATGCGTACTTGTCTCTGTGCATCAGTTATAGTCTCTCCATAAGCAGAAGTGCCATGGCCAAAGCACTGCTGTATCATCAGGCGGCCTGACTTAACACGTTGGCTTGATTAAAACTCAGCCCTTATAAGAGCGCATCCCCATGAAGTGTCTCAGAGGACTCTCTGTGAGCAGTAATAGGGAGTCAGCCCCTCGTCTACAACCTTAACATGTTCTTTAAACGTCACCCCCACCCTCACCAGTCTCCACTAGGGATGTAACGGAATAGCCTCATGAAAATTCCTTTAACTTGGAGAGAAAGAGGGGCTGGGGATGGTCAGTGGCATAAGCGCCTACCATGCCTGGCAAGTGCAAAGTCCTGAGTTTGAGTCCTGGTACCAAAAAAAGAAAAAAAAAAAAAAGGAAAAAAAATCCCCCTAAACTTCAAACAGAATGATAATATCTAAATGTTGACTCAAACAGGATGATGATATTTACTGTACCGTCATGGTCCTTACATTTTTTAAACGTCTTGAGTACAGGGTATGGACAAGTACAATTTTGTAGTTGTACAGGATAATTAATATTTGTGTGTGTAAGTCACAATGAGGAATGTGAAAAAGTACAGGAAAAGAAAGCGAAAAGCTGAAACTGGGAAGTGACTTAAAGTTTGAGAAGGGAGTGAAGACAGACCAAGAGCAAACACAAAGGAAGAAAATTAGCAGAGAACTCCTGAAAACAAGAAATCATTGATTTTAGAATTCAGGAAGTGGGCATATGGGGCATGGAGGGGAAAATAAATTGTTTTGGTGCAGATACTTCCTAGACTGGACTTTTCCAACTCTGTCTTCTCCTGCAGATACAAATTCACACTGTTTCCGCTACAAGCTTTTGATGCAAAGCAGAATGCAATGCGTGACGCATCTTTCTGCAAAAAAGTCTTACAGTTCCGACTCTTTGTCGTTTTCATTCAGGTAGTATTCATCGTCTGTGGTCGTGTCTGTGTCCCAGTCTGAGTCCACCGGCTCCTCCTCATAGATATTAAGCGGTTCATTTGGACTTAAACTATCTTCTGGCATCTGACTGCTGGGAGAATTTGAGCTCAAGGACTCTGATGGGTTGGAAGAGCTAATCACATCATCTTTCAGGAAGCCAGGGTTCTTAAGAAAACTTGGTTTCCATAATCTTCCGTGTGTGAGTGACCGCTTTACATTCTCCAAGAAAGCCAGCTGTTGTTCTTTCCCAAAAATCCCATAGTCAATCGGTCTGGATATAGATGAGGCAGACCGGGGGCCTGTTTTTGCCTTGCTGCTGTACAAAGCCCAGCTTTCATTCTCATCACAGTGAGGAAGTTCAGAAAAAGATTTGAATCTTCGACTGTACCTGTTGTTGGCAGAGAGCTCATCCTCAAGGGTCAGTCGACTCAGGCCATTGTCAATCGATGTGCTTTCAGAAAAATGGCGCCCCCTGACTTTGGGAGGATGACTTTTGCAGGGCAGATCACTATGCACATTGATGCTTTTTAAACTCTTCGATCTGTAGAGGTGAGGCTCAGGTTCCCACTCCCGAGACAAATCTCTCCCTTGTTGCCGCTGACGACTGGCCAGGGAGATCCCAACTGGAGACTTCTGTGCAGGTTCCAGAGGAAAAGGAGAGCTCAGCCTCCTCCGATGGTCGGAGAAGTCCGCGTCCCCGAGGCTGGTGAGTGTGAACTGGGCTGGGGTTCCTGACTCTCTTTCCTCATCTACTGTTTCACTTTTAGAATCCTCATGCTTTGGTGGTGATTCCGAGATATTGTTGAGTTCATTCTGATGTAGCTTTGAAATGCTGTTAGACTTCCAGTTATAGGAGTGTCTAGGAGTTTCTCTGCTGGATATTTCAGTCTCCTCCATATTCACTCTATCATTACCCAGACTGCTTTCATCTCTGGGCTCTGTGGACTTTGGAGTAGGCTCAGGGGCCAGTGAGTTGCTCTCTCGTCTGCCAAGAGATAAGTGGCCATAGTCAAATGTGCTCCCACTTTTAGAGAAAATAGTAGCTACATGTCTTTGGGGGCTTAAATCCTTAGCAGGGAATTTTCTGCTGGCTTTAGGCATGGTTGGCAATCTGTGCTGAATTGAAGACCTGTTTTCTGCTTTTTCTAGGTCATCCAAGTTGGTCTGATGTTTATTATTTCCTCCAGCACATAAAGTCTGATCCCACGCCAATTTCTGCATTTCATCTTTGCCCCTCTTGCCCTCGGGTACATTTACCCCCTGACTTCCTTGAGGTAATTTCCTGGGTTCAGACTGCACACTTTGTAAATCTGGTTCACTTGATTGAGTCTTGTCACCACTCTGTGGTTTGTGCAGTGCTGGAGTGAGAACACCATCTTGGCTTTCTGAGTTAGAAAGAACTTCGTCAGTCCGATTTTGACACTCCATTCCAGTTTTCTCTCTGATTTCCCTGGGCTGTGATCCACTGCAGTGATCATACTTACCTATGGCCATGTGATCTTCCTGAGGCCGGTTTCCACTTTCAGTATATCTAATGGCCACACCACTGCCTACACACTCCCCAGAACTTCTTCCAGTTTGGGAATTTTCACTATTATCCTCAGAATGGGCCGGGAGACCGGAGAGACCACTGTGTCCGGCACTAACAGATTGTTGACAATCTTCATATTTTTCTTCAGTGGCACTTTCACCCGGAAGCATTTGTGAGGTATGCAAAGCTTCACTTGTCCGTGTCTCTCCCCTCTCTTTCTTGCTTTGTGGAGCACCTGGAGGTGTTTTAGCTAAGTTAGGTGAGGAAATCTCTCTGGCTTTAGATTCCCCTTTACAAAGAGAAACGTCTGCTCCAGCACAAGCCATTTCCTGTAACGTAGGCCCCAAGGACCCCCTATTTGGTGACTGAAAGGTAGCCATACTGTCAGTGATGTGAGAAAGATGAGTTTGAGTAGGGTTGACTAGCATTTTTAGATCTTCAGATGAAGATGTTCCTGACTGCACTTGTGTAGAATAATTTACTTTGTCCTTTTCTAAAGCATTAGAAAATGTGTCTGTGTCCACTTGAAGTGATTCCGTAAGTGAATTGGTGTTTTGTGTATATTGCTGGACGAGGTCGCGGAATTTTTTGCTGGGTTTCCGTGGTAGTGTATAATATATTGAAACCACCTCTAGACATTTTACATTGTCTTCGTCACCAGACACAGAAAACATACTAGTAGTCTTAAATTTATGTAATGTTTTCCCACTTTCTTTTTCTGTCACCTCTGTACAAAAAGGGAAAGGGTCTTCATCTGAAGGAGTAAATGTACTTGTCCCAGAGGCAGAACTTTCTGCATGTTTTTCAGTGCGTTCTTGAGAGAATTCTTTCTGGCCACCTCTAACAGAGGAGTTACCTTCCAGAGGGTTAATGACTCTCTCCCAAGGGCTCAGAGTCACAGCAGAAGCATCTGTATCTGAGGCCAATGATCTTGCTCTGTCTTCTCTTCCAGTGGAGGCACACAGGTCTCCTGTAGGACATGACATAGCTCTCTGAACGAAGAATGGTAGAGGTCCTTTCCTAACAGGAGCCAGTCGAGTGACTTTCCCACCCGTCATTGTTGCTGTGGCTTTAGATGCCACCGAGGCTGAATCTGAAACAACTTTGGAACATCTGCTCATTGACTCAGGAGAACTGGGACTGAATTCACTTGCTGAGTACTTCCCACCTGAAGCGTCCGTATTTTTTTTGATCTGGAATGGAGGTGGCCCGTTCCTAATTGAAGCCGCCGCCATCTTACCTTCGGGCTGCCTGCCACGTATGAGATAACTGGCTGATTTTCTGGGCAAGGTACAATACATGGTGCTAAGTTCAGAAGGTCTGGATTTGCTCTGATCCTCCTCGGTGAGGCTACTGCCTTCAGTTGGTCCTGATGCACTATTCATTTTGCTCAACTTCTCGATATAAGATACGCGACGTCTCACCCTTCCTTTTCCTTTTCCCTTTCCACTTTTCAAAGGAGAGTAGGAATGGCACGGGGTGACATCACACACTTCATCATTTCCAGGCATTGGACTATCATTACTCTTTTGATTTTCTAAGGAGCTTATAGCAAATTGATTGTTTTGGTTCTTGCTACCATTGTCTTTTTCTTCTCTTTCTCCCAGAGATGGATCTGTGTCTGATGGGCTTCTCCTGGAGAACACTGTGGTGGAACTTCCTTCTCCTTCAGTATCTAAGCTAGCAGGCTCCTCCGGTGATTCTGCACTTCGATTGTCCAGGGGTTCAGCGTGCCGGAGGTTGTTTTTAACAATGTCCGGAATATCTTCACTGTTTACTTTTAGTTCCTGATGATAACTTTGATCTGGGCTGGGGAACGATGGTGGTATTCTGCTCTTCTGAGTGAAAAGAAGGGAAGCTTCTGAATCAGGTTTTTTGTTCCCAGGAAAGCTCTCGCCTTTGTTAAGTTCATTGAGTTTATCTTGGTATGCGATGTACATTTTGGAGGTGTCCTTCCCGGCAAAGCTTCTTGGTGACACCTTTGAACAAACTGTGGTAGACGCATTAAAACTCAACCTGTCATTTTTGGTTGTCTCCTGGGAGAGAGGTTTTTGAAAATCAGGTAAAGGGTCTGTCTGTCTGTCAGTCTGTGAAACATACTGTGGAAGTATGTCACCTGTCACGTGCATCTGGTCTACCTCATTTAGCTGTTTGTCTTCTAAAATAAATATAGTTGACTCCTTCTCACTATTCTTTTCTGTGACCAAGCTACTGAGCTGGGTTTCAGCAAGAGGCGGCGGGTCAGTTGAATTGCTGTAGGTCACAGTGACTTCTGTACGGCCTCCTGTTGGCAGGGAGTCTGGTTTATTGGGAATCATTTTTTGCAAAGTGACTGTGGAATTCAGAACGGTGGGATTCTGAGAATTCCCTTTGTCATCAGCAACCTGGGGGAAGGAAGTTTTGGATGAGGATGCTAAAGTCTGAGCAATTCTCAATGAATAGGGTTCTTTGTGTACATGTACTTCCGCAGGAGAACTACCGTGTTGGCGTCCTAAGCCACTAGATTTGATGTGATAGTTTGAACCAGTCATAGAGTAAATATTTTGTGTGTCAAAATGAGGAGTTGATTGGTTCTCATTACTGTTTGATATCTCCATGCTCTCCAGAGGGTGTGTGTGAAAGTCAGACTCTTCTTGGCCTCTGAAAAGATTCGGTCCACAATCAGGAGCAAACGGCTCCCAGTGGTGAAAAGGGACACTGTGGCCGCGAGCAGCAGGTGCACTATTTGCTTCAGTGGAAATCATTTCAAAGTCTCTGTTAGAATAAACGAATGGTTTCCTGCCTTGATGAAAGTCAGACCAAGAAAAATGTTCTTCCTGGTGGCCCCAAAAAGAACTTCGTTCAAATTGTTGTTCTCTGCTTCGTCTAAAGGTACTACTGAAGAAAGACCTAGCAAACGGGTTGTCTGGATGATAAAACGGCATATTCTCTGAGTTCTCAAAAGTGTCAGAAATCATTGCATTATCCATGGGGGCGTTTAGATGAACACTTTGGTAAATATTTTGTGAATGGTACAATTCATACCTCCTGTTTCCCTGAAAATACCTGGGATTCACATACTCATCCGCAGGGTCAATTTCCATTGGTGATGGTGTCCTCAGGAACTCTTCCTGGTCCTGCCTATCTGTAGAAGAATCTGATCTATTCCAGATGATGGATGATAACGGAGTTCTCTTTGGGCTCTGCTGATAGTTCCGTGGTATAAATCTACTCTTGCTCTGAGCTGCGGCTGGAAAATGTAAGCTTCTTGCTGTGAAATGCTTTGTGGCTGCTAAGGCTGATCGTTGCCTGCTGTCAAAACACAAAGAGGTACTGCCAAAAGTATTCTTCGGCACATAATCTTCTTCTAAGAAGCTGGGCTCCCTTGTCCTGTACATATCATAAATTGTCCTTGTCCTAGGAGAAAAGGTTTTAAAACCTTCCCTAGGAGCTCCTGGTCTCAGGATGTCATAAATTGACATATTGGAAGTTTCACTGTAGTGATTTTTATGTCTTCCAGTGATATTACTGTTCCTGGTGGAATAAGCACGGCTGAAATGTGTTCTTGCTCCATAGTTGTGGGGCATGCCGGTATTCACTGAGCTTACAGATTGTTCCTGAGCCAGTGTGCTATCCAGATCATCTAAAACTAAAGGAGAACATGAATCAATGTTTTGAATATATTTTTATAGTTCAACAATAATTTGAATTGTGGAAAACCAACCCAAGAAACATAACGGTCTTTAATTTTATTTTTACCATATCATAAACAGGACATTAATTTTACTTATTAATTTTAAAGACAGTCAGACTTGTATAACACTGTAACACGAGTTTCTTTTTCATGCTTTTCCAAAGCAATTTTTTTTTCAGGTGCTAAAGATCAAGCCCAGAGCCTTGTAAAGGCTAAACAAGTGCTCTACCACTGAACTATATCTGCAGCTCCCAGATCAAACATTTTCAAGTAAATCTTCCATAATAGCTTAAGGACATAAAGCTGTATTTTTTCCTGACAACAGACCCATTTTCTTCTGAGATTATTTTTCTTGAGAAAAATTCAGACCCACTAGCACTACTACAGTGCAATATTTCTGTATGTTAGGCACAGTTCTCAGCATACAATATATTAACTCATTAGTATTCCCATAGTAATAATACTATTACTATTCTCATTTTATATTGAGGAAACTGAGGTAGGAGAGTCACCACAAATTTGGGGCTACACAGTGAGTACAAATGAGCCTGAACTGCACAGCGAGTCTTTGTCTCAAAAAAAAAAAAAAAAGCAAATTTTATGGACCTATTTCTTAAAGATGTACAAGTTAAATACTAAGCATTATTATTATTCCATATATTTATCAGCTCTTAATCTGAGAATATTTGCTTAGATTCTATTGGACCATAAAGTTCTTCCATACTTGTGTTAATAGCATATATCAGTATCCTCTTCAGATAAGATAAACAAGAGGACTTCAAAAATAAAACACAGGGTTTGATATATTTTGAGCACTTTAATATAAACTGAAATAATTATTTGCTTTGCTTTTTTTTTTCCTTTGGTCTTTTTGAAACAGGGTCTCTCTATGCAGTTCTGGCTGGCCTTGAGCTCACTTTGTAGCCCAGGCTGGTCTTGAACTCACAACGATCCTCCTGCCTCAGCTTCCTGAGTGCTGGGATTACAAGTGTGCACCACCACGCCAGGCGTTTGCTTTGCTTTAAAATCAAGAGTTTTCCAAAGGTCTTGTAATGCATAGACTTACTGGGGAAAAAAGTAGACTTACTTTGGAGAAACTCGTTCTCTAGCACTGAAATCTCCCACGGAGGAGGTATGCTACTTCCTTCCCTCATGATTGCTGGCTTGGAGACAAATGCACTGTCAGCTGGTTGGTTTTTTAGAGGTGAATTGTATATTTTTGTCTCCTAATTTTAAAGTAAAATAAACAAACAAACAAATATTATTTCTTTATTTCCTCCAGCTAAAATACTCACATGTTCCCACAAAAAAAAAAAAAAGAAAAAGAAAAAGAAAGAAAAAACTGTTACAGGTTTAGTGCACGGGCTACAAATCACTTTCCCTAATATTTATTACTTACCTTACAGTGTTTGGTTGTCTTTGCCATTTGCAATTGACCATGAACTTCTCTATCCATACCTTAATTCTTTAAATTAACTATGAGTATTCAGGCAAGGTAGTGGGCCTCTCTGCCAAACTTTCCTGTAGGCTTACACAGAATTACACAACTTTATGAGGTGGGTAGTTCCTGGGAGTAAGGAAAAAAACTAAGCTCTCTCAAGTTGGATGTGATGTCTCTAGGGCCTCAGTGACTGGGATTTTGGATTTCCTAACACTACATACTCTAGCAAGAGTGTGCTAGCAGAAGCTCACAGTGAACCGTAAGGTTCATGAGCTTGATGGATTTAGGGAAAAACAGTATTTTTATCTAGAGCTTATCTGGAATGGTAGACACCCTCAACCATAAAGAACTAATTTAGTAGTTCTGAAACAAAGGTATTGAAAAGCACGATCTTAGAATTTCTTTAACTATTGCTAGTTTAAAGGATTATTAATATAGAGCGAGTGCTAAAGTTGTCCTCTTCTTTTTTTAATTAGCAAATGTTTATACTGATTTCATCAAATCTAAACACTGCCCTACTTGCAAGCTTGATTTGTCTTTATAGCCTTGGGAGAATTTTCGACGCCCACATTTTTTCTTTTTGTGCCAAAACTCCATTTGCATTTCCTCTGTCAAACTGGCTCTGAGCAAGGATGGAAGCCCCGCCCTCCCCACTTCCCTTTTTAGCTCACTCTGCGACCCAGTCCTTGCATGTTGAATCTGTCTTCTCCCCAAGTGTTCCCTCCCCATTTCATCCTCACTATTACATTTCATTTTATCTTTAATGCCTAACACCCAATGCTGAACGTTTCCAAAGCTCTGATTTTTAAAATTTCTTCACCACAGATCAAAAGTTAGGTTTTCTTAGCCTCTACATCCTTTACAATCTTGTGTGGTCACTTCTATTTTCTTTCTTAAGGTCTAAGTCAGTCATTTCTTATAGGAACCCACCCAAATTTCTTTCTTTTATTTTTATTTATTTAGGGGGAGTGTTGAGACAGGGTCTCACTATGCAGTTCAGGCTGGCCTCGAACTTGCAGTGATCCTCCTGCACATCAAGTATTCTCTTTTCTTCCCTGCCAAATGTCTCTCTGACTCTTTATTGGATTAATAATAATTAGTCCTGGATCTTTAAAGTCTATTCTTCCTAAATCTGCAGTTTCTGTAGTTGGTGCAGAATAGATATATTTAATTAGGAGAACACCACACTTCGTTTTCGCTCCACCAGTTCAACTTGAACAAACTTCGAATCTCCTTAATGTAGACCACAGTGCGTTCCTTGTGGCTTCCTGATCATCTCCTTGTAGAGTGGAAATTCACAGGGAAATGGAAAGCACATGAACCGGGGGCTCAGCGGGCAGATGCGGCTCTGTATGCTGGGAAGGGTCGCCCTTATCAAGAGACCCCGACAGAACTTCCTCTGGTTATATTTCTGCCCAGATCCTCTACTTCCAGACCAATCCTACTCACCCAACATGTTTAGAATGCTTCTAACACACAGAAATGTAAATGACATGGCTAGAAAATGTCAAGGTTTTATTTACATTCACCTAATTTTTCAAGGATTTTCTTTTTTTTTTTTTTCCTAAGGATTTCCTTTTTCTCTCTTTCTATCTTTTTTTCTTTTTGAGATGGTCTTGCTATGCAGTTCAGGCTGGACTTGAGCTCACTTTGTAGCCCAGGTTGGTCCTGAACTCACAACGATCCTCCTGCCTCAACCTCCCCAGCGCTGGGATTACTGGCATGTGCCACCAAGCCCAGCTTTTTAAGGATTTTCTTAATTGACAAAACTGCTTAAAAATAAGTAACTGCTAGTTAATGGCTGGCGTGAGACATAAAGAATATTGAGTACTATCACTCCTTGATAGACCTCTAACTTTGAGTGATGTGAGAGATACTATTGATGTTATCAGTATTAGCAGCAGCTACTAAACGTTGATTATTATACTCTGTTAGGGCTTTATATGTCACTTTATTTCATTATTTTACCAATCTCCTCACTGTTCCTGGTAACAATTCTCCTTCCTTTGAAAAAGCAGGTTTCAGGAGGTCAGACTGTTTGCTCCAGTCACACTGGAGGGGGAGGAGGAGGGTTCGCTCCCAGGCCGTGGGGACGCAGCCCCCTGCTGAACCCCGCATGCCCTGGTCACATTCATAGCTCTGGTTCACCAGCACACCGGATCCAGGCGGTAGGGGTCTCTGCAGCCAAACACAAGTCTGAGAGTGGCTGAAGCATCTGACGTTCCTCGTAACCCACAGCACAGATAATCCTCCCAGGCTTAGAGCAGACACTGGTCCCCAGCCAGGCTCCGTTCTGGACTTAGACCCCTCCCCAAATAAAACTTTATGCTACGGAGTTGCCATCGAAAGTATTTCCCTGGTCTATTTCCCATTCCTGGCCTAGAGGATGCAAGTATCTCTTTGGAGCGATTTGTACCCAAATCCTTTGGACCTCTTCACGTGAGCCTTTCCTCCTTTCTCTCTCCAGGTGCCCTGGGCTCCAGGGATAGCACAGAGTCCCCCATGTGTGCTGCGCTGCCAGGCCTCTGTGCTTTGGCTTCTGACTTTTTATCTTTTTCCAGTTCTTCTTCTGGAAAATATGAACTCATCATTCAGAACCCACTTTAAACATTGCAAGCCCTTTGCAAGCCCTTCTCCAACTCTCAGGTAGAACTAATTCTCAGGGTTTTTTTCGTTTTGCTTTGTTTTTTGAGACAGGGTCTCACTATGTAGTTCAGACTGAACCTGAACTCACTATGTAGCTCAGGCTGGCCTTGAACTCGCAATAATCCTCCTGCCTCAGCCTCCTGAATGCTGGGATTACACGTGTGTGTCACCATGCCTGGCTAATTCTCAGTATTTTCCATGTCCCTCTGGTATTACATCTACTATGCCAAGTTGTTGACATTCTTTCCATTTTTACTTTACTATAAATCTTTTCCTTTTTTTCTCTATCATAAAATTCAGTCCTATTCTGGTCTAGGAAAGCAAGGATTCAGGGAACAATGAGTCAGGATCTTGGAAGTGATAAACCTCTAAAGTGACTAAGGAAGCATCACATTTTCCTTTGTATCCTGATCACCTAGCACAGCATTTAGCATGGAAGGGATGGAGTAACATGAAATCCAAATACTTGACTGTAAGAATAATCCCCTCTCCGGGACTTCTGTAAGACATCGTGTGTGCGTGTGCGCGTGCGTGTGTGCATTTCCTACCAACTTACATATAATTGAACAAAATTACCCCTTCACCTAGTATTCAGTATATTCTCTTATATCTCCCTTGTTGCATCCTTATAACAGTACCCAACTGGGTCCAAAAAATTGTGATTTAGGTAGGGATTATCATTCCCCTTTTGCTGATAAGAAAACAAGTTTCAGGTAAGTTTCTTATTTGAGTAGTGTATGATGGTATTGACTATTTGCACTCATCTGATCGGACCCCTATCCCTGCTCTTTCCACTAGGTTGGTTTTTGCTGTTATTTTACTAATGCATGTGGTAATCTCTTACAACAGAGGAAGTGGGCCTTAAACATTCTAAGCACCTGCTGCATGTGGCATGATACTTGGCACATAGTTATGACCTGATTCATGATATGCCAGGGTAGAAAACTATAGCCGTCTGATTTCTAGTAAAGATTAGAGCAGAAATTGGAACACTGGAAATGTATCATATCAGAACTAAAAAAAAATATGTTGGAAGCAAGACAGCACGTAGTTAAGCAAATGAATTTTCTATAGGTCCCAGTCCTGGCTGTGGCCATTAATAGCTAGAGACTAAGTTACTTAACCTCTCCCTATCTTACCTTTTTTTGGTGGTAAAATGAAAATAGCAACAATAACAACAAAAATATCGTCTACTTCTTTGGTTTGCCGTGAGGATTAAATCAATAGCTTTAGTTTGTTTTTTTTTCTCTTTGAGGCAGCATCTCACTAAGTAGTCCAGCTGGTCTTGAACTCATTATGTAGCACAGGCTGGCCTCAAACTCTGGGCAATCCTCCTGCCTCCGCCTCCGGAGTGCTGGGATTACAGACATCCACCACCACACCCTGCCCTAGTCAATAGTTTAAACACACAGAATGGTGTCTGGCTATTACTGTTTGGTTGAGGAGAATTTCCTGGAGGACTCTTGTAGGTGTTCACAGCATGGTCCTGTCCCCCAGGACTGGAGGCCAGCGTCTCCAAATGCTGGCTTTCAGGTGCTCAGTGACTTTCTCTAACACAGTACATAAAATAGGGTGAGAAAATGGGGCATTTTCCTGAACTCTGATTCGCTCTACTGTCTGCAGTTCTGACATGAATAAACAGATCTTGTGTCACAGAGTAACCTTAGAATATTTGAGAACTTCCTAGGGCAGTCAAACCTGCAGAACCGCTGTTGGGGCTGAAACCTAAGCTCCCTGATACTATCAAATGCCTTGGTAAAGTCAACAAATTAATTCTTCAAGGTGTTCCTTGAGGAATTTACTTTGTGTCTGTTTTTCTTCCTAGGTTCCATTCACCAATGTTCTCTGTGGCTCAGAATCATGTACTTATGTCTTCTTTCGTTACTGGGTACTCACACTGTGCCAGACAGTGTGACACAGTCCCTGTGTGTGCTAAGTGCCTTGGGGCACTCTGCTCCCAGGGACACCGAGCTGGCGGGATCACCCACACTGGGCCAGGGATGAGGAGTGACCAAGTAGCCCAGGCCTTCAGTTTTGTCCTTATCCTCAAAGAGGGTGACGACTTCGACTTTGGTTTCCTCACAGTTAGAAGCCGCTTGTTTCACAGAGAACAAATAGCCATGACTGGAGACATTTTCCAGTGTCACAGTGGACGGAGGAGAGCTAATGACATCTCGGAGGTAGAGGTCAGGGATACTGCTAAATATCCCACCAGATACAAGATTATTCCTCCCAGCAGAGAATTATTCAGCCCACAAGGTACCTAGTTCTGAAGGTGAGAGAAACCCTGAGCTAGAGGATCTCTGTGTAGGTCTATAAAATTCAATGTTTCTGAAACCCTTTGCTTCTTTTAAACTTGCATGAATGTTTGAATAGCAAACCGCTTTCTTTTCTGAGAGGAAGGTCAGCCAGTAACATGGTGTGACTCCTGTAAAATACGGGAATCCCTTCCTCCCAGCTATCAGCTAAGTGGCAGGAAGTCCATCACTTCAAATCTTGGCAAGAATCCCCACAACATCCTCTGTCATTGTCCAGCTCTCTGTGGGACAGGACTTCTGTAAATAAATAATAGAAAGCTACAAGTTGCACAGAACTCCTGTTTTAGTTAGTACTTTATTTTCTCTCTCACTTTTTTCTTTTTTTTTCTCTCTCTCTCTCTGTTTTTATTTTTTGAGAGAGGGTTTTGTTATGTAGCCCTGGCTCATCTTGAACTCACTGTATAGCCCAAGCTGGCCTCCAACTTGTGGTACACCTCCTGCATCAGCCTCCCAAGTGCTGGGATTACAGGCATGCACCACCACACCCGAGTCTCTCTTTACTTTTTACAGTAGATATTAATGGTGGTCACAAGCTCTGACTTGAGTCACGTATTTTCCCAGCTTTTTCCTTTTAGGTTGACAAGCTTTTAGCAGGAGCATAAAGGAAAGCTATAGTCAGAAGCAAAGTCAGGGTTCAAAGGAGTGTCAAAGAGAGATAGATGAGAGTTTCCAGTTCTAAGATTTTCCAGTTCCCTCAGGTTAGATGTTGCAGTTCTAAGAATGCCAAATTAGCTTGACCATTTTATAGCTTTTAGGCATTTATGTTTCTTTTTCTGTGAATTCTTCACCTGCTTGGATCTGTGGTTCTCAAACAGCAGAGGCTGATCGAGTACAGGAGCACTCTGGACCAGGGTCCTGTCTCCTTAGAAAGCAGAGCTGGATGCGGAGGACACAGTGTTGTCTCTGCTCAGTTATGGGAGTCTCTGCAGACAGCAGTTAACCGGGGTCCGCACGCAGGGCTTTAGGGCTGGTCAGCTGCAGGCACTATTGACTTCCGGCTGTAAGGTCATAGGAACCCGGATGTTCTCATTCTGAGTCTGCCATTTGCTAGTGAGACCTGCAGTGTGAGCTTGACCTTTTCTGAACCTTAGCTTCTTCATCTCTAAAATGAAGGAAAGCAGGTACCGCCTACTTCCTAGATTTTTCTCAGTTAAGTGAGACGACTGGGGCTAAGCGCTTTCCTTTGCCTGTGAGACTTAGCAACCCTTGGTGCTGGTGTCATGGCTGAGGTGGAAACGTGTGAAAGAGAGAAACAGGTTCAGCACTACTATCCAGAAAGTGGCAGCATCACTCTGAAGAGGAAAGAGGGGCACTATTGTTTTTGATGTAAAGAAACTCTCTGTTTATATGCATTCCACAAAAAGCACACACACACACACACACACACACACACACACACACACAGGAATTAGGTACTAGTACTAAAACCATAAAAGGTTGAAAAACGCATTTGCCTTTCTTCTCCACTCTTAATGTCCCCCCTCCAAAGCCTACCTTTCTTTCACTTCTACACGAGTTATACAGAAAGACACAGGTGTTCACAGATCAGAAGGGATGACCCAGAAAAAGCAGAAACAGAAAGCTTTTCACTCTCATGGGCACGTTAGCGTGGTGGTACATCTAAATGTAAGCCTCAGTGGGAGAAGGTCATGCTGCTCAATCCCCTCATGTGAATTTGTTGCAGCCAAGCACACCTCGCCTCTGAGCTGCTGTTCCTCTGTGACTATCAGTGAGGAAAAGTCCAGTCCAGACCCACAGCAGCTTTCAGAACTCCCTGTGGCTTCCTCGCCCTCTTCCTCTGTCTAGTTCTTTAGGGTTGTACGGGAGTATCACACAGTAAAGTGTCAGAGATATTGCCAATGGCACGAATGGAAACATCATGGCCTCTCTCCTTCCCAGTAGAGTGGGGTGTTCAGGCCTCCCAGTACCAGAGCCAACTGGAAATCACACTGGGAGACAGGGCTCTCAAGCAGCGGTCGCAGCTTCTAAAGTAAGCCCGAAACAAAGCTACTGAACTCCCACTGAAATAGGCAGCCAATCTGGGATTATATAGATTCTGAATTTCTTTCTTTTGTTCTTTCTTTCTTTCTTTCTTTCTTTCTTCTTTCTTTCTTTCTTTCTTTCTTTCTTTCTTTCTTTCTTTCTTTCTTACTTTCTTTTTCTCTTTCTTTCTTTCTCCCTCTTTCTTTCCTTTCTCTCTTCTCTTTTCTTTCTTTCTTTCTCTTTCCTTCTCTTTCTTTCCTTCTTTCTCTCTTCTCTCTTCTTTTTTCTTTCTTTCTTTCTTTCTTTCTTTCTTTCTTTCTTTCTTTCTTTCTTTCTTTTTCTTTCTTTCTTTTCTTTCTCTTTTCCTCTCTCCCTTCCTTCCTTTCTTTTTTTCTCCATCTCTCTGTCTCTGTCTTTCTTTGTCTCTCTCTCCCCCATTCTCTTTATGGTAACAAAGTTTTATTAAAGGTAGGAAAAGAAACAGTCTCTCCAGAGCAAGTTTGGGCCAAGTAAAAGTAGGAAGAGCAGTACATGAGGGTGGGCTACTGTGAAAAACGGAACACAGTGGCCCAGATTTTGAATTTCTTAGTGTAACCTTAATGCTCTGGCTACTTACCACAGTGGTTCCCCTCACAGACACGGGAGGTCCTCCCTGGCCAGCACACCTGTGAAAAGAATTTGAAATAATTTCTTTGAAGAGCTTGACTTTCACCCAGAGGAATATCAGCAGGACTTTTACCATTCTGTGTCGATGTCTTGTGAAGACAGATTTCTAACGTTCTGTTAGGAGGACATTTCTTGGTTAGTGCATTGTTGGACAAAATTTCAAAAGCCATTTTCTATGACTGCATAGAATTAATATTTTAAATCTTTGCCACTCAGGCAGCCGAGAAAAGTTCTGTAAGAGTGTATTTGTATTTGAACACAGCATACAAACCTAATAACAAAAGAACTACATGTTGAGTGTTTACTGTGTGACAGGCATCATTCTCACGCTCTCCTGCAAGGTAACTCTTCAATACTTTGTTCCTATGAGGTGGGTATTATGTCTGCTCCCATTTTACAGAGACAATGGAGGTATAGGAAAATTAGAATGCACAGGTTAAGGAACACAATTAGTAGATGGGCTAGAAGTTGGGCCCCTGTCTGAATCCACAGTCCTCCCTAGTATGGCACACAGACTCTTCTTATAAATGGAAAACATTTTCATTTTTGTGCATTTTTATTTTAAAGAACAATTAGGTCAGGACCAGACTTAATCCATAATTGTTTAAAAAGCAAATGCCATAAAAACTGCTTCAGGGTGATTATCTCTATAAACATGCCTGACTTGTTCTGAAATCATTTTGAAGATGAACAAGTGTACGTTTCCTGTGTATGTTGCTTCTCACAAATTCAGGGAGCAGGTAAAAAATTTACAAGACCTCAGCCCAAAACTGAGATAGATGTGGATCTTTTAAGACTCCGCTCTTCTGCCAAGTTGTGCTCTGCCTGATTTTGATTCAGGATTAATATAGATCTAGTGAGTCAGAGCTGTGAAATCAGATCATCTCCACCAAAGGGCAGCAAGGGTGACAAAGCGTGCAGCAAACTGATGCTCTGGGTTGGAGCGGTCAAAAGCAACAAGGTACAGCTGTCTGTCATTCAAACTCCTAGCAGCTTTAGGATTCAGGAGAGCTGGAGGCCAAGTAATTTTATATCTTGAAGATATACATATGTTGTAGGGTCATGTCCATGCTCAGAAAGTTTTGGGCTTTGGAGCATTATGGATTCTGGTTTTGCTTCCTCTTCATAAATATTAAGTCTGCAACCCTCATGCATGCTATGTACTACTTTGAGCTCTTTAGAGGAAACAAATATGACTGAGGTAGGAAATGATTCTCTGAGTTTTTAACAATAGGAAAGGTTAGATGACAACAGAACTGAAATACAAGCCAAGATGTGACAAGGGCAGTAGAGACATATAAGTAAGGTGTACTGAAAATGCAGAGAGGCAAGCTCTTCTGAGGGTGAGCAGGGGAGGCAGTAAGGAGCAGGTGGCAGAGAACTGGTACGGCTGCTACAGAGCAGCATGAGCAAAGGCGTGGAGATGGAAGACTTGCAGGGGATGCTGGGAAATAGCAATTTGCCCAGAGCCAAGAGTACTTGCCAAGGTGTGCAGATTCTGTCCAGAGCCTTGGAAGGCTGCAGCCCTTCCAGCACATCCTCACAGCCCAACTCTCACCAACTCAGCAGGCCCCCAATCCGATGGGAAGTAAGGGCAGCAGGGGCAGGTTTCTGAGGATGGCAGGTGAGTGGAAGATGCAGCTAAAGGACCAGAAGATGCCTGAATCACGGCTGGTACAGAGGACTGCCAAGTGCAAGTGCACGCAGTGAGGGCAGGGGTGCGTTCACCGAGGGTGTGCGTGGCTGTGGACCACTGTGGACTTTGGTTGGAGGGAGGCACTCCAGTGCCTTGGAGGCCCAGAGACTCTGCACCCAGGCCAGGCCCTCCCTAAGCTAATTTCTGTTTCTGATGATGATACTTCCACTTGTAGGATAAATAAAAGCATTAGTGGCATCATGAGGGTTATGCAGGTAAAAGCCCCAAGACTAGGCCTTGCAAATGGTTACAAAGACGCCTCCTCTGCCTTTACTCCTAAGTCCCCTTAATGGAATGTTTTAGAGATCGTTCACAAATATCTCCATTCTCCACGTCCAGTTTCTCTTTTCTCCCTTCCATCCTTCATACCACTAATAGGAGATCTGTCTAAAACCCTCTGCCTAAAAATCTTACAAGGAAGCATATACAGTCTTCATATGACACAAGGCTTTTATTTTACCGGGTGAGCCCCCATCCCACCTCACGTCCCCACACTGCATTCCTTACGGGTCTCCGTACTCTAGTTTTGTCAGGTTAATTCCACCTCCATCATTCTCTCTTCTTTCCACAATCTTTGCAGATACCACCCAGAAATTCCCATGCAATACAGTAGGACAGAGTTCTAACCAAAGCCCTGGGTAATTTCCCCAGGCGTTGGTGGAGTACACTTTTCCTCCAAGGAGTTCCACGCAGATGACCACGAACGATTTCGCTCTTACAAGTCTGAAATGGACTCAGTATCTCCCTTCCATCCCACTCCTTCCTTTCCAGTCCAGTCCTGTTAACTCAACTCAGAAATTCCTCTCAAGCCCATCCTCGTCTCCACGTCTCCCTACCTGTACTCTAGCTAAGACATTTATTACCTCTTGTCTTTATGAGCGCACTCGTCCCTTAACTGCCCTTCAATTTCCACTTTTGTCCCAATCCAACCCATTCTCTAAACATTAGCCAGAATGATCAGTGCAATCTGAATCAATCCCCCTTCCTACAGACTTCTGTGTGCTCTTGGGTGAACACTGAAATTCTTCTGCACATTCTTAAGCCCCTACATGATCTAACCCCTGCATACTGTCCAGCCTCAAATCTCACTTTCCTATGTCTCTTCCGCTGGAGGGAATTTGGTAGACATCTGCATGTATTTGTTTCCTTGCCTGAAATGCTTTCTTACCAGCTGTTTGTCTGGATAACTATCTCTTGCCTGAAGAATCATTATAGATGTCATTTTCTCTAGAATACTTACCAGGACTTAGTCTAAGATACATGCACTCCCTGTGGGGTCCCATGGCGTGCAGATCTTCACAGCAGCATTATTCTCTCACCTTTCCCTATTTCTTTTTTGTTGTCCACGTAAGACTAAAGCCTTGAAGGCAAGCACTGCCTGTTTTGTCCTTGTGCTTCTTGTATATTCTTATGCAGTATTGTTGGTTAAATGAATTAAATGATCCTCACCACATCTGTTCTTCCTCTTACATTCATGATATTCACCTGCTTTCCCAAGGCAGGGTGGAAGAAAGTCCATTTCCAATCCTCTTTCTTCCTCACTCACCTCATCAAATACTAGGTTCTTGTGAGTCAGCATTCAAAATCTTGCATGAATCTATTTTCCCCCCAGAAGTGGGACTGAACCCAGGGCCTCTGAACTGCACTACACTCCCAGTCTCCCCCTCTTTAAATTTCTTATTTTGAAACAAGGTCTTGCTAAGTTGCTATGTTGCCCAGGCTTGGCTGGAACTTGCATTCCTCCTGCCTCAGCCTCCCAGACTTCTGGGATTTCACGGATATGCCACCATGCCCGGCACTATCTGCCCATTTTTGACTTCTCTATCTCAGCAGCCTCTTACCTAGTCTCTCTGACTTAAATTTTGTTCCCTCAAATCTTCCTACACTGCAGATGGAGAACAGTCACTCAGTTTTATCGCTGTAGCCATTTTTTTCTTTTCGTAGGGAAATGCTCTGTACTCTGTAGGATGTTATCAGCATCCCTGGACTCTATCCCCTCTTCATTTGTGAAAAACAAAAACATTTCAAACATTGCTGAATGTCCCTTATGGCACAAAATTGTTCCTGATTGAAAACCCATGAGTTGAAGTGATGTTTCTAAAATGAAAATCTGATTATGTTACTTTCTTACTTAAAAATCACCAATGGAAGCACAGAGAGAGAGGGAGGAAAAGACAGAGAGAGAGAGAGAGACAGACAGATAGACAGAGAGAATGAATCCAGGAAAAATATATGACCTGCTTTTTAACTTTCCAGAATGGTATCTGACCTTTCTGCTTACGTGAGGGGAGGCTGCAGCTGGATGTCCTAAGCGGTTTACGCCCTATGGATCAGGCAAATTGGGGCATGCCTGCAGAGCAGCTATGTGGATCATCAAAGTGCTTTGCTCTTTGCGTCTGCAGGAAGAAGTCATTTTAAAGGAACAGGGCAGGGTGCGTGCATACTCCTGCTCCAAGATGGTAGTTGTCACTCTCCGTCACAACTACATAGTGAGAGACAACATATGTTAAGCACTGATAATCCCCGAGGTAAACAGGAATTTAAGTTTATTTGTAGCTGTTATTCATGGGCCTTAAGAGATACGTCCCTTTGCCCAGGCCAGGGACTACAACAAGGGAAGGAATAAGGAGAGAGATCCACGTCTCTAAAACGCCTAAACCAGCTATAAAATCACCAGCATGGTTGCACAGCTTGGAGGAGGTGCGGACATCCGGGCGAATGGCTCCCTTGAGGGAGCGGCTTCCCAGGGGAGCATGCTGGAACACGGAACAGAGAGCAGCAGAGCGCATCATCTCTCCGTGGTGCGGAGGAGGGCAACCCTGCAATAACTGGGACTTGGACCCAGAAAGGAAATCTGTCAGTGCTACCCGGCAGCCGGGAAGACCGCGCCTACAAGCTCATGCCCTACGCTGCTGGATGCTCTCTGAACTGCCGGGAGGGGATGTGGGAGACATAATTTACTGGAATTCTGTGGTGGAGCTGAGCCCCGTATGTTCTGTGCACCAGAGAATCCATAACACGATGCGAGGAAGCATCTCCTACAGGAAAGTGCTGCGGAGGGAGGAAGCTGGAGGCCACATCTGTAGACCTTTCTCGAGGTTTTCTTTTGGCTAGCGATACATCAGACATAGATGGAAAATATTTTTTCTTTTTTCCTGGAGTTTGGGTCAGGCTAATCCTTCACAAACAGCACTAAACCCTTAATGGGATGATTTGGGTATAGGCTAAGTTTGGCAGGAGGAAGAAATCAAGTTTGAATCTTTTTGCTTTTTTGTCAGTTCACAAAGTCACAGGATTCCCACAGCTTTTTGTCCATTGAAAACAGGAAATTGAAGCTTCAAGGTATTGTACACCGTAATTCCCCCTTATCCTGGGGGGTGGGAGAAGACATGTTCCAAGCCCCCCAGCAGATGCCCGAAACCACAGGTAGTACCAAAACCTGCATATACTATGTTTTTCTCCACATATACATACCTATGATAGTTTAATTTATAAATCAGGCATAGCTAGAGATTAACAACACCCATGGATAACAAAATAGAACAATTATAACAATATACTGTAATAAAAGTTATGTGAATATGGTCTTTCTTAGTCTCTCTTTGTATGATTTGGGTATAGGATAAGTTTGGGAGGAGGGCATCTAGCTGTGTTATGCTGTAGTTTTGGACAGTGGCGGACTACCGGTAGCCGAATTGTGGGTGGGCTGAGGAGACGCTGTACTCTTATTGGCTGAGGAGGGCTGTCCACGACCCAATGTCACTTCTCATTTAAAATGAAAGCTTAAGGGAGGGAAAGAGTCATCAAATACTTGAATAGTCAAGTATTTTAGGTCTGAACAGAGGTTGTCTTTTGCATGGAAGTGATAATTCTTTTTCCCTGACTTTATTACCTTTTCTTTGAATACAATTTAGGAAAGTTAAATAAAAATCATCTACATTGCTTTGCTGACTGACCCTTCACAGTACCAACTGTGACAAAGCCACGCCCTTGACAGCTTCAGCAAGTAGGAACCTGACGGCCCTTGGCACGGGATGACTGTGCTTTTGAACCTGGCCAGTCCCACCCATGTGCTCGCAGGGGACAGCCGCACTTCATTTTGTCCCAAAGTATTCTGAAGGTTCACTTTGTTTGTTTGTTTTGGTACCAGGAATCGAACTCAGGACCTCACGCCTGCCAAGCAGGCACTGTGCCGCTGAGCTATATCCCCGGCCCCGATTTTGTATTTTGGAAGATCAGAACTGTCAAAGAAAGTGAAACCCTACCTGAAATTAAAGAGGCCCTCAGGGTGTACGATATATAATTTATATTAGCTGCCTTGGTACACCCTCCCCCCCTTAAAAATTTGTCCTCTCTCCATTTAGGATTTATACCCAAATATTTAGGTCATAAATTAGATTTAAAAATAAAAAGGATGTGTTTTTGCATTTTATCTTCTGAAAACTCTTAGGAGCAAACACAGGTGTCTTTTTCACTATATTCCACACTTGCAGAATTAATAAACACTTGCCAATAGTAATGGTAATCGTGAGATAAATGTTAAATATTACTATTTATATTTGGAAAGTAAAATGTATTTAAAGATAACAAATTCTGGAAATTGCTGAACACTTAGGAAATTTATTTAAGGAAACCCCTAACGAAATTTGTTTCACTTTACTTGCTGTGTTGTGTGTTTCAGTTTGTCTCTGTAGAAGAGAAGTATGGGTCATTTTGGTATCGAAGAGTATTTGCTGAACAGAATTTTGCAAGCTTTAACTTTTTTTCCAGTCGCACTTAGAGCCAAAACACACTGTGCAGTCACTTGCCATATGACCTTGGAAATAACTTGCCCTAGAATTAACAGGTCCCTTAACTTTTCCCAGTTTATTAATATTAGCTTACGCAGCTACATTAAACTCTGCCTTAAAGAAAGTCACTTTAAATACAAATTACACTATACATCCTAGGAATATTTCTTTTGTCTTTAAAAAAATATTTTCTACGTAGGAAGTACTCCTCAAGTTCCCCGAGTGACAGAATTACTAATATCTTAAACATTTTTTACGAAGAAAGGCAACTCACCATTTGAAGAGAGTTTCCTGACAAGCGACTCTGCTAGGGACAGTGCTGTAACTCTACATTTTGCTCGGCTCCTCGGGATTTCATCAGACAGAAAGAGCCCCAGGTTAAAGTTGAAAGTAAAAATTCTTTCCTCCACCCAGGAGAGGCAGACGGCCCTCCGCTAAGCCCGGGCGCCTCATCACACGCTCCGCCAGCCGCCCGCTGCCTCTTGTTTCTTCGCGGCAGTGACCTCCAACACCTTTTATTTAGCACTGCAGTGCATTCATGGTTTGACTGCACACGCAACGCGTCACGTGCCGAGCCAGCACCTTGAGGGTGGGGAGCTTTGCAACCAGGAAGACGTGAGGGAAATGTTTAGTACTCGGCTCAAACACACATCAGCACAGGCGTGCTGCTTTTGCACAAAACAATCCAACAACATCATGAGTCAGGTACACTGATTTCTGCGGTTCTAAACCAGGAATCAGCTGTATTATGCCTCCAGTGCCCCCAAAACTTTCTCTGCTCCACCTTATATTTAAATTCTGGACACTGGGAGTGGCTGCCGTCACTATTTCTGGTAACCAACATGCCTTTTCCTCTATGTTTTAGAATTCTGTTCTTTTTTTCCCTACCATTTTTCTTGGATTTACTCTTCTCCGCTCCAACTCCTTTATGACTAGCGACACGTGTTTCCTAAAGGAGTGGCTTTGATTTAAATGGGTCTTTCCAGCTCGGGCAGTGTGCTTGCTCTTGAAGCCGCGGAACAACTGTTAATAACTATGTCCCAACATTTAACCCATTATGCACCAAGTACACCATCGGGGACATCTGCAGCTGGTTAAAACTTGAGAGCTCAGGTGAGCCAACTGTGAGTTTCTTAAGCGCTCTGGCACTGTGCCAGCTAAGCCCTGTGTCCTTTGTTACCATCTGAATTGAAACATAGGACATTCTGAACACAACACCGGCAATTGGCCTCTACTATCCGATAACTAAGAAGCTGTCACACGATCTGAGTGTAACTCACCCTTTCTGTCCCAGTGACTGGAGCTTGAAAGGCTCCTTCCCAGGTTTTCTGAATGAAAATAGGGAAGCGAGTGATGATCTGAAGCTCAGCCGAGAAGGAACAGATGTCGTGGTTTCCAGATTAGTTACATTGTGAGATCTTGATGTTTGTAATTCCATAGGATCTAAAAATAAAATGTAAAATGTTTGCATCCTTAAGGGTTTGCCAGATAAACACACTTGAAACAATGAACCTTGGCTCTTGCTTCTCTCTCTCCCTCTACGCAGTCCAGAACTTGGAGACGAATTCTCCCAGGAGACCTTGAGAAGGAAGGGGAGTCAAAGCTCCCTATCAGAATCTTGCACCCTGATGAGTCCGCTGAGCAGAGGAAGTCTCCCCTGGTGCCCATCCTGGGTCTTTCAGTGTGTGCTGTGCCATAGATCATAATTCTATAGATGATCCCTCGCTCCCCACAGATGTCCAGCACCCGTGCAAGCCAGCCGGGGAGCCCAGCCAGTTCTCACCTTGCTCAACCAACCTATCTTTCTGAAATTTTTGTTTGGTACTTTAAAACCATGGGTACTATGTACCCATGTAACTATGTAACTATGTAACTCTTTTATAGCAAAGAAAATAAAGGAAATTAAACAATTTATAGGATTCTTTCTTCCCTCACAAAATCTATCTCAAGCAGGGTATGGTGGTGCATGCCTGTAATCCCAGCACTCAGGAGGCTGAGGCAGGAGGATCCTTGCAAGTTTGAGGCCAGTATGGGCTACAAAGTGAGCTCAAGGCCAGCCTGGACTGCATAGTGAGACCCTGTCTCAAAGAGACAAAAAAAAAAATCTATCTCAGTATATATGTATTTACATCATAGGCGGTTTATCCATAACATAGTCAATAACAAGAACAGAGTCATGAGCACAGAGATCGAGCAGAGATTTCAAACCAGACATTTTTCTGGAGCCCATATTTACATTTGTAGACACTATCCTATTTTGCCTGATTCTAGAAACATTCCCCCAAGACATTAGTGCAGTAAAATTTCATTTCACTCTTTGTGGTATATGTCATGTTATAAAACTTTTGTGTCTTATAATTGTTCTAGAG